AACTTCAAAGGTTGGAGAATTGAACCAAAAAAAATACAGCTGGAGAATAACTTTTAGTTTCATTTTGTCCTTTCACATTGACCAATCTTAGAAACTTCTCTTGAGCAAGTGCACACTATAGGAAAGAAGAGTATCAAACTATTCATCATAATTTAACATTACAGCATTAGTAAATTAAAGTCTTTGAGGTTGAGAATAAAGGAGGCCACAATTTGGAAATGGGTAACTAAATTTTGAATCTTTCTCAGAAAAGATCTTTGAATAGAAACGGCCTCTACAAACTTTCAGTCTGAAAAATATCACCTCAAAAAGGTGTTTTCCTGCCATAAAAACAGAAGAGTGGAAGTAGTGAATCTGAGCTTTCAGCTGTTTCTCTAAGAAGAATGCATTATTTAGTTATTAATTTACCCTTAAAATAGTATGGCTGTAGAAATGGTTTTAGGAATAAGAATTTCACAATATGGACATTGGAGATAACAATAATCAATAAAATTCAGGAATAGAAATCCAGCCAGAAGAATTATTAGTGGACCACTATAACCAATCAAGCAACCCCGCCCCGAAAGCCCACAATGCAGGATAATAAGAGCTGCCCTATGAAGAATGGTTTCCTTTTACACTAGGCTCATTATTATGAGAAAGTGAAAATTATAACAGTGATTTAACCCATAAAGACCTCCTTTAGATGATAGAGCAAAAGTTAGGCCCAGTAAAAATGTAAATGGTGAAGAATATATTAATATCAACCTATGCTATCTTCATTACAAATACTTAAAGAGAAAGCCAACTGTGACAGAAAGAAAAGAAATACAGAACTCATGGGAGCCAAACGGGTGTTTTCTATAGGAAACTTGGAATCAACTGAAATGCACAAAGGCTCGCTTTTCTCACAGCTCTCCTGGCTGATGAGTGTGTAGGCATAGTTGGGCTGAGAGAAGATCAGGTGACTCCTCAGTGAGTCTGCAGTGAGGGAGACCTCATGGGAACAGGTTTGCAGGAAAGCCCACACGCCGTCTACGCCCACAAAGTGTGAGGTGGGTACACCCAACCCACTGCCAGCAGCCTGAAGCAGATGAGAGGAATTCCAGCATTTCAGCCTGAGTGCCAGCAACATGATGACAAAGGCCAGGAAGACACAGGAGATGGCTGTCACCGCCACCACCAGGTAGAGTGTGAGGCCTGAAGCATCTGAGTCATGTGGGACCTCGAGGCTGCCCATATTGGCCAGGACATCTGGGATGCTGCCAGCCACAGCCACAGTGAGCATGACAGTTGTCAAGAGAGGGGGGTGGCCATGGTCCTGGGTGACTACCATGAGGTTCCTCTTGGGCGCATCTCTGTCCATCAGGGCCCATGCCGTGCACACCTCACCTGTGTGCAGCCCCACCATGAAGAGCCCAGGCTCACTGGCCTTGAGCAGGTGGTAGGGACAGCCAGGCATTTTGGCCAGAATCTCTGTCCACTGCCACCACCTTGGTCACTAGGTAGCCAGGCTCTGCAGAGTGGGGTACCAAGTCCATGCTGGTGGAACCATCTGTGGGGAAGGTGGGATATAGGATCTCAGGCACATAGTCATCCTGGGTCAGCACGAATAGGCTCAATGACACATTGCTGCTGAGTGGGGGGTGCCTGCTGTCTCTTGCCCTCACCTGAATTTGCAGATCGTGAAACTGCTCATAGTCAAAGGAGCACAGTGCATACAGCATGCCAGTGTCAGAGTTGATGGAGACACAGGCGGAGAGAGGAGCCTGCTGGATGGTGTCCTCAGCCAAGGAGTAAATAACCCTAGCATTCTCATTATCAGGGACATGGGCAGTCACAGAGAAGATGGAAGGGCCCCTGGCATTGTTCTCAGGGAGATAGACTGAATAGGAGGCTTGAGAGAAGGCAGGCGGATTGTCATTGATGTCAGCCACTTGCAGGGCGATGTGAATTACCGTGGACAGGGGCGGGGCTCCTCTGTCGGTCGCGGTCACTGTGATGTTATACTCAGAGGCTTTTTCTCTGTCTAGAATCTGGGTTGTCAACAATCCATAACAATCTTCTATTGGATTTTCTAATTTAAAAGTTAGATTCTCCTGGATAGAACAAATAACTTCACCATTCTTCCCGGAGTCTTCACGGGCATTGAAAAGGACAATTACGGGCCGGCCCCGTGGCTCACTTGGGAGAGTGCGGCGCTGGGAGCGCCGAGGCGGCGGGTTCGGATCCTAGACAGGGATGGCCGGTGCGCTCACTGGCTGAGCGTGGTGCGGACACCACCGTGCCGAGGGTCTCCATCCCCTTACCGGTCAAAAAAAAAAAAAAAAGAAAGAAAGAAAGAAAAGAACGATTACTGTTCCCTGGGGAGCATCTTCCCTTACTGGGCTAAACAGAGATGTAATGGTCATTTCAGGTCTATTGTCATTTACATCTTCCATTGAAATGAGCACTTTCGTCCGCCCTTTCAATCCCCCACCATCTTCAGCCTGTATTTCCATTTCATAAAATGAACATTCTTCATAATCCAGACTTTTTGCTGTTGATATTTCCCCAGTATTTTCATTGAGCTGGAATATCGGAGATTGTTTTTCATTAATTTCTCGGAATTTATATGCTCCTTTCCCGTTGACTCCCTCTTCTGGATCCGTAGCTGTTACAGTTAGCAGCTGAGTGCCTGGGGGCACGTTCTCTGGGACTTTCACTCGGTAAATCGATTGAGCAAAAATTGGGGCATTATCGTTTGTAT